GCTCTGCCCCCTCCCAACTCCTTGTGCCCCCCCCAGCCTCCTCGCTGCTGGGGTGGGGTGAGAGGCAGAAAAGGCCTCGGCTCTGGGTAAGCCCAGCTCAGCAATAACGAAAACATCCTGGAGTTATCAGCGCTGTTCCCAGCACAAATCCAAACCACAGCCCCCTACCAGCTACTGGGAAGAACATGAACTCTACCCCAGCCAAAACCAGGACAAGTTTTTACAGAAAGGTCAAAAACTTAGCTTCTGTTCTCATATAAATCTGATCCAGTTTTAGTTTGCAGTTTACGCCACTGCTTTCATAGGAGTTAATTTGGTTTAAAACTGTTCCTGAGATCAGAATTTAACTTCCTTGCAACTTTTTATTTTAGTCTATTGCTATTGGTTGTTTCGTATAAAGTGGATGTAGTTGTGTGTGGCTTTTGGAAGGGGGATAATATAAATAAATGACCCAAAAATATGCATGGGAGCAGTTGCAAAAATGGAGAAATTTGTCTGTAACAGCCGACTCGTACCCTGGCTCAGTATCCAGCTCCATTTAATGCAAAAGACACCTGAACTCAGTGGAATTCTGCTGGTTTGATTCTCACCCTGTTTTCGTATTATTTATAATTTAGCCATTCCAGTGGAATCAACATTTTAATCTTATTTTCCCTCTCTTTTTGTTTCAGGTATTATTTTAAAGTCCAAGCAAAGAATCCCTTTGGTTATGGACCTGTTAGCTCTTCAGTTTCATTTATCACAGAATCTGGTATGCTTTGCTTTTTATTTTCATCTCAAAACTGGTTTCCTAATAACAGATGTGGCAGGGCAATGACAGACACCAGCTCAGTAACAATGGTGATTATCCTGAACTTGATGATTTTTTAGGTTATTTGTTTTCAATAAAGCTAGGAAAATAATATGCACTCCTAATGCCACTATGAAAATATAAGTGACATTAAAGTGAGCTTCAGGGGAACAGGAAGTTGAATTTAAAATACAAAAGGCTACTAATGTTCCACAATACAGAAGCAATGGGAAGTTTAATGTCTTTGATAGATTGACCAAACATTGAGTAAATTAGCTTCCTAATTGTGAACAGCTGAACAGTTGGAAGCAGCTGTCTCTGGAAGAAATATAGGAAACAATTGTTCCATCAGACGGGCAAAGTTCTCTGTTCTTTTTTTGACAAGGCATGCTGGCCTTTCACAGGGCTAATAGTGCATTCAAGAGCAACACCCACTTCTAAAAATAGTATGTTAAATGAGCTATTTTTACCACCACCTTCTTCTTCTTCTTCTTCCATTGAGCCAGAGGCCAATGACTCCACTGAATAATAAAGGATAAATTTTTCAGCCTTTACTTGAGTGAAGGGTCTGTTGTGTCTTGCAAATTTTGCCCTTTTGACAACGAGGGGTTTACGCGGTCTCTGCCTTTGCTCACTTGACTGCACCCTGTAGTGTTTGCTTCAGAAGCTCCATTAAGAACCATGGAAGTGGGTCTTCACAGAAGGGAGACAAAAATGCACAATAAGTAAATGGTCCTGCATAAAGTACTCGGACTTTTTTTAAAGGAGTAAGAAGCTCAAGTATAAATCCAACCATAATATTTAACATTGGACAAATACAGCAGTGTGCCCAGGTGGCCAAGAAGGCCAACAGCATCCTGGCCTGTATCAGGAATAGTGTGGCCAGCAGGAACA